ACACACACACACACACATACACACACACCACACACACACACACACACACACACACACACTTCTTCAAGAGAATTGTTTTTCCTTTATGACACACTGGAGAATATAGTGACTGAAGGCAGAAGTACCCTGCAAGTCTGCCGTGATGTTTGGATGCCATTTGAGTGTGCTCCGCAAGGGTTCATGGGTTGAGATTTCATCCCCTTTGTGAGGTATTGAGAGGACAGAAACTGAATCCAACGATGGTGTCCAGAGGTGGGACTCTTGGAAAGTGATTAGGATTAGATAAGGTCTCCAGGGTGGAGCCCGAAGGCTGAATACAGGGCTTTGTAAGACCAGGGAGCGAGGCCAGGTGCTGTCCACACACACTCCCTGTCTTTTGCCGTGCGATGTCCTGCCTCACCTTTGGGCTCTGCAGCAAGGCCATCATCAGAGGTTGGTGCCTGAACCTCCAGAACCTTGTTTCTTTTTTCTTTGTTCTTCTAATAAAAACGGACGTGGGTATTTTGTTATAGTAACACAATGTGGATTACTACGGCTGCTGACATGGAAAATCTTGTCCTCTGTGAGAGGCCCTTCGACCCCGCCAGAGGGTGTGTACAGACCTCACTTCCATCCATAAGGGTGGATTCTCCTTCATGGCCGCAGTCTGTGGAGTGCATGGACGAGCGGTTTCCTTGCTGTGGGGACCGCAGGGAAGGTGTGAGCCTGTCGGTGCCTTGCGTGGCCTCTCCAAGCCTGGCTGTCCCAGAACCTGGAGAAGCGAGGAGATGGGGGAACCACCACCCCCTGACCTCTGACCTTGGTGAGCTTATATTTCTCTACCACATCAAGAATCCAGTCCTCACAAGGCCGACTCCTGGAACTCTCTGCTCACTGGCTTCATGGCCAGACACTCAGTGACTAGGCTCTGGATCCACTGGGCTTTCTGGAAAAAGAGACATTATTTGATCTATTTATTAAGACCAAACATGTCCTCGCAGCCCCAGAGCCAGCCCCATCCTCTGCCCGGGATAACCAGTTGGGTTGAACGTCACTCATCCTTCTTCTCCAAGGCCTTCCTCCCACGGCCGGTGGCTTCCGATGCCCACGTCACTCTCTGCACCATGCGGCAGGTGCTACTGTCAGCATCTTCTCTGTTCCTGCATTTCCTGATCAACCTGCTGGTGATAGCTAAGACTCTCTGGGCTACTAAGATCTAAAAGTCCAAGATGATCACTTCCTGGCTGCTAAGAAACCCCTTCTTCTGAGTCATGACCGTGTTCATCTCTTCATGCCCTCGAGTATTCACTCACCAGCCATCTGGGGGCAGTACTAGTGCCAGGCAACGAGCTTGACCAAAGGCAGCCGAGGGGGGGCCCAGACAGCAGGCCCCAAGGACTGCGTTCTCCTTGCCTCACCTGAGAGAATAACTAAGACAGTGGGGGCCCATTCCAGGCCACTGAGAGAGGAGCAGGAGATGGTCACCTCTTCAGTCAGTTGTGCCTTGCTTCACATCAGGTGCTTTGTCTATGACCTCTCTGCTCCAGGCGGAAGGCACATGTGAGGCCACCAACGCTCCACACTGGAAGGAGCACACGTCATTTCAAAGGTATCCAAGGTCCATGCCAGCTCCTGGGGTTCAGGGGAAGTGGAAAGGTTCTTCTCTTCAGGAAGAGGCGCCGCAGCCCCAAGGAGCTTGGACACATTTTGTCTTCAGGGAGGGGCTCCAGGAGAGCTGCAGGTGGCAGTGGAGGCCTTCTGAGGGACACCGGCATGGCCTCCAGGACTGGGCCCTATGACCACGGGGGGCCTTGAGGGATGAGTCCTCAGCCTAATTCTCACTGCAGCTCTCGGATGGCGTGACACCTCCTTACAGATAGAAAATGCTGGAGGGTCGCAGGTAGGGGCACCACTGAGGTTTCTCCAACTCAACCAGGAAAGGAGGGCCAGACTCCCTGCATGACTTCACACAGAGTCCCCCTGCGTCTTAGAGCCAGGGAAAGGAATTTTCACTAAACGGTCTCAGACACATAATTTAATGTGTTCTCATTCTCATTAGGCAAATAGCCCATAAAAGCAGGAATAAAACAAAACAAATAGAGGGATATGGCCTAAATCCCTTCAATAAATAAGTCTATTCAAATAAGTGGCTAATAAAACCTCACATTCAATATTTTCACTCCAAGTTTCTCTCTTTCAGAGGAAAACACGGGAGTCTCTCAACAATGTCTTAGTTGACCCCTATGTAAGTACTATGTCCAGCTTATCCCCAGACCTCTGCCCTGGTCCATGTCCTGTATCATGTCTGCTTCTCCCTAAGACGCGCTCACTCCCTGTTGGAGTATGTTGCTGTGTGTAATGAACAAAGAATACCAGCCAGGGACATGGCTCTGAGGCTGGGTGTCTCCACTGAAAGCACCCTTTCCATCAGTCTAATTGGAAAACTTCCCGTGCCCTCATCTCCCCTCAAAAGTGGGTATGGAAGGCTGAACTTAGACCACTGGGGTCTCTAGAGGCAGAGCTTGAGTGGAAAATACAGGTCTGGCCTGAAGATTAGGGGGTGCAGCAAGTTTGAGAAGAAAACAGCTCTTTAAAGAAGGCAGTGGGGATGGAAAGATGGACAGGAAAATATGCGACATCCACTCAGAAGCAGGCAAAGAGCTCAAGGATGGTCTTCAGCCTCATCCTGAGGGAACAGGCTGGGCCCAGCTGGCAAGTTCAAGGTGTGGACCCTGGACCCTGTCCTTAATCAGGCATAGATATGCACACAGAGCAAGTGGCTCCTTCTTGGAGCCCCTGTGGCCAGTCTCAAGAAAGCCATCGGGGTACTGTAGCTAGTTAGGACAAAACCATCACCACTCAGCAAATCACAGGGTGCTTTTATTCAAACTGCTTGGCTGGTGCTTAATAATGTGCAAAGCATTCTGTTCCCAAGCGTCCTGTCCATTTTCAGCTTGTCATAATGCTGCCTGCTTTGGGGTCTGCCCAAATCATAGATGACTCCTCTTTCTAAGCCAAATCACATCTGGATTCTTTTCATGACAATGAGATGCACCTTTTAGGTAGGTCTGGTTTTTGCACAACTGCAGGGGGCACCTCTCATTATAGAATGCTATGCAGCTGAACTGATACAGGAGGGATAAAAAGTGGTAATTGCCGTGCCTTCTGGTTTGCTGTCAAATGCACTGCCCTAACAAGATCTAGGTACCCCCACGCAGCCAGTGTTCCTGTGCTGGAGCTGGGACCCTTCAGTGGTTGAAGAGCTCTCACATCTGGAGTCTGGATAACTTGATTGACAACAGTCATGGTTCTTGCAGCCCATAGTCAAACCCTCTGTGAAGATGAAAAGGCAACTGTTGCAGTGAGGATGTCCTCACCCTTCTTCAAGCCCAGCCCTTGCTCAGAAGAAAACCTTGGCTGCACCCTGCAATCACCGGGGGTGGGGGTCACCCCCAAGATTCTAATGTCATTGGTGTAATGTGCTTCCCGAGAATGATGATTTTCCAAAGCCCCTCCATTGGTTTCTTTAGCGCAGCCCCTATTGTGAGTGGCTGTAGATCAGGGCTGCTCAATCTGTAGTGTGTGTGATATCCCCCTGGAGCCAGGCAGGCCACCGCTGTCTGAGTCCCATCCTGGCCCCTGATTCAGCACCTGAGGGGTAGAACCCAAGACGGTGGACTTCTAACACGTCCAGGTGATATTGACGCTGCTGATCCAGAGACTACTGCCTTAGACACAGAGGTCTCACCTGATGACTGTGAATTAGAACCACCTGGGCACATTCACCACCAACCCAGACACACTGAGTTGAAAAACCTCTGGTCATGGAGCCCCAGGCCATCGAGAGAGAGAGAGAGAGAGAGAGAGAG